TCGTTGGCTGCACGGCGACAGTGGGCCGAAGCCCCTGGTGTATCGCTCAATGTGACTCTCGGACAGTACTCCATGTCAGAGCGACAGATATTTATTCCGCCAAAAGGACAAGAGCTTTTACATTTGTCAACAATCATCACCCTACTCTTCTTCCTCGGGTTGAGAGGAAGCAGGTTTCCTGTGGTCCAGTTGAGGGTTTTCACTAGGCCCTCCTAGAAGACTGAAATTTCCGTTGGCACTTGTATTTCGCTCCAAACCTTCAGACCGTCGACATTTAATGGTGAATGAGAATTGAGGGCTCCTGGCAGGTCTCTGATGAGAGAACGGAACAGTAATGGCCTCAGAATAGAAACTTGAGGCACACCACCCAGCATCGGGAGCCAATTAGATAGAGAGGAGCCGATTCTAACTGACTGCGACCTGGTGTAATGACAATCCCTAAACCAAACCAGCAACTTCCTGTGTACACTCATAGGCTGAAGTTTCTTGCACAGGATATCGTGGTTTTCCCTGCCGAAGGCCAGTGTGAACGGGCTTTTACCGCCCAGCAGAGGGAGTCCAGCTTTTTCAAGCTACCAACAAGTTAGTGCTGCACGACCTTCCAGGTAAAAAACCATGTCGACAGTCGTGCACAACTGATTTCTTAAGCAAGTGATCCCAAAATGGGTCATTTATCACTCTCTCTCCGTGACCTTCGCAACCGAAGAGACCAGGGAGATTGGTCCAATGTTAGATACAAGTAGCTTGTTCCCGCCTTTATATATTGAGACAACAGCCACCCGTTTCCAATCAGATGATAACCCGCCTTCCAGAAACGAGCATCTGAAGAAGTTCGCCGGTGAGGGACCCACAACTTCAGCACACTCTTTGAGCACTCGACCAAATCTAGTCAATTCCTGGAGACTTATTCAGGTCCGAATTCCTTAATATTTCCACAACTGTGAGGGATTCCAACTTCATATGGTTTAGCCCACTGTAATATAGATGTCCGACAGGTGCGTAGTTTTCGCTCCCAAACTGCAGAACTTGTTTTGGAATTCATGAAGTAGTAAGTTTGCTGCCTCGAGATTAGGGTGGAGAATCCCTAAACTAGTGGGGTCCCGCGCATAAATTGAACTGTTACTCTTCTATTTCATCAGCGAGTATAGTATTCCGTGATTTCACTCCGGGGTTCTACGTGGCTGTGTCTGGTAGTTTAATCTATCATTTCTGACTCTTATCATACACGTGTTACGGATGCCTTTGTGAATTAGCCAGCCAGTGGAACCACTGGTGACCCTCCTCGAGTTCAAGATGGCCTTTTAACGCCGTGCAAGTTTACGCGTGTTTAACCTAAGCCAGAAGGAGTAGAACTCGCAAGTCCTTCTTCAGATAAGAGGAGTGTCATCATTTGTCATCTAAAGGATTGCACCTATATTTAGTGGTCAAACTTTTCAAAAGAAATCCAAGGCTCAGGAAAGGACAATTCGGAGGGTTTCACGTAGTTGCGACGGCGGCTTTTGGCACGACAAGGTAAGATAAACCATGCCTACATCATTTTCAATATCTAACACTCCTATGAATGACTTCACTATGAGAGAAATCTCTAGAAGTGAGTTGGAAAGACAGAACGGTGTCAATATTCATTATTTTATCATGAAAGCGTAATATAATGTAGCTCCAGTTCATGATCAACGTTAATCTGCCGAATCAGAGTGCGAAATTAGTGATTTTGAGCATGATTTTAGCGAAACCCTTCATCTGTAAAGCTCATTTTACAGAAAAGTGCTACCTTCTATGCGCATTGACTCAGCTAACCGCATTGCTTTCTGACTGTCAGAAGCGGTCTTTGATACTCTGAGTGACTTGTTTGGGTGATTTGGAGATTTATCCAATCATGTTTGTGTAAGCACTGTGATCATATTGCTGTTGTTATCCCGTACAGTATGCTACGTCCTTAGCAATGCAAATAAATTCAAGCTGATTGTTATCGAATAAAAGTTAATTATCTTTACAGGGTACCCAGTTTATCCGGAAGTGAGCAGAAGACAAGAATCCATTACCACGGCTAGCATTTATGAATAATTTTGCACAGCATTAGTGGATCTATCATTTTGTGGGGAATACTTCCATTATTCTTAGGTAACTGAACGCCTGCCGGGCGGTTGTCTTCACTTATTTCACTATCATTGTTATTGTGATCGTAATCCTCTTTTAATGACATATTTTCCCTGATCAGTGGAATTATTTTTCAGGTTTAAAAGAAGAATATACACTGCCTCCACTCACCAAATCATTAAATGCGCGGTATTCTGCAAACAGCTCTCCATTCTCTTTCATTTCGCCGAGTGCTTCTCGGCCCATAATTGATTCTTTCCCTGTGCTGTCCACCCCCAGTTTGGCATTCATGTCACTCACTAGAGTTTCTACGTCGCGGACTGAAATCTTGTCATGCACTGATTGGAGTTGTCTGTAGAATTCCCCCTTCTTCTCCTGACCTGCATTGTTTGTAGGTGCGTAGCGTAGCATTGTGTGACTGTTACTTTCCTGCTTTTCGAATTGTATCTTGCTGTCATGATCCTGGAGGATATTGGTTCCCGCTGCATGAGGGCCTTCGGTGCCGTTGGGGACATCATGATGGCCACTCAAAAACTCACCGTGCTCGTGGCTGTCGTCTGGGTGACCGGAGTAAATTATTGACCCTCTAGTTGACAGTTTGGAGAGTCCACTCCCATTCCATCTGCCTTCGCAGATTCCTGACACTTCTATACCATACCTTCCCACCTCTTTTGCAATCTGGACAGCCCTGTTAGGTTCAAACATAGTGTGGACATTCCATGTCCAGATTCTTATTTACGCTCTCATCGAGGGAGTGAAGACACGTCGACCACTTGGCTTCCCGGAGGCTTTCACCAACTGGCGTCATTTCGCCTCTCCGATTCTTACGACTACTAAGTTTAATTTGGTGTTGTCTTTTTTTGTGCTTTGAAGTTTATTTAGCGGTTGGCTTGGTTTTACGCAGTGGGGTTGCCAGCCCTACCCCCAACTTACCCTCTTTACCCGGGCTTAGGACCGGCTAGTAACTAGTGAACTGGTTACCCGGGCGATGACCGGGTTTATGAGTCAGCTCAACTCCGCACTATAGGACGGTGCCATAAGGAGCACCACTAATACTGCCACTGAATCCACATGCATATTAGGACCTCTGAGTATAGAAGTAATTTCCAACCTCAAAGGTGTACAGGCTACACCTGCTTTTGTTATTTTACTACCACAATTTCAGATAGTTGTGCCAGCAAGATAGCAGTAAACTATGAAGAAAGTGGACAGTGATGAAAACTTAGCGAATTATCTGGAAGTCTAAACTCTAAACGAACAAGGGATTTAACTAGAAACCCCTAAGACCCACATCATCAAGATAACCTTTAATGATGGCAAGAGGACACAAATGGGGAATATACGCTACTAGTTCTCAAAGATCCACTTTTTCTAGAAGCAATGAAGCCATGTTCCTACGAATATTACTGCCCAATAAGTAAGAATTACCAATCCCATTCATTCATGGTATAGGTGGAGGACGCTGTAAAAGAGCCTGGCCGCACCACTGGCACCGCAAAATGATCTCACGTTGCTGGCAGAGTAGGTGGATATTAGCGGAGTCTCATTTAGCCTAGATAAATGCCGAGCCATGTTTCTCCGCACCCGAGACTCTCAGAAGGTACCCTATTCTCTCCGTGGAACACAACTCTGTCACACCGCCAACACCACTGACACTGACTGACAAACTAGACACCAGCTCCAATTATCCAGGAGATGCCTCCTAGAGCCTACGCAGCACTGCACTTCATGCGCAGACAACTGGGTGCGCTGACCCCGGAACTATTTTTGAAGCTGTGTGAGACCTATGTATGACCCCACGTAGAGGTACACAACGCCACTGCACCAACATATCTGAAAAGATAAATGGACCTCTTGGAGAAATTCCAAAGGCAAGCCACAAAGTGTGTCATGGGAGTGAGGCGGAAGCCATGTCAGGACAGGCTGAAAGATCTAGCGCTCTACTCCCTAAGCTACCGTAGATTACGTGGTGATTTGATAAGGGCTTACAAAATACTCAGTAACCCAAGTTATCCGGACAGTAGAATCCTACCGAACGGCCACTATGGCGATCCTCGTGATAACCAAAGGAGAATCGCCCACCAAAGAGCGAAAACCCGTGTGTGATCACACTTGTTCCCTCTACGAGTTTGCGGCCACTGGAATGCATTGCCTGCCGAGATTGTTACTGCTCCGTCTGTTGACAGCTTCAAGAAGAGTTTGGATAGTTGCGCAGCGACGCACGGTTTGCGCTCATCCAACTGGGATGTGGACTGGGCTGACACGACTTACTAACTCGGTACGACCAACCGTTACTAAGCACTTTGTAAAACCACTATCACTGAGAACTTGGCTGAACTTTATACCTTCCTGTAGACGTCCCCTACAGTTACCGTCTCCTACTAAAAGTACCACTATATTCCCATTCGTCCTATCATGTTACTTATTGTTCTTCCTTCTGACTTTACGCTCTCAAACTTTAACAAAAGCTCTCCCTATCACCTATTCCTCATGAACCTATCAATGTTTCTTCTTCTGTGCCGTTTCCTTTTTCTCAGTCTTTTTTATCATTTTCTTTCTTTTTTCCTTTTCTTTTTCTATTTTGTCTCTCTGCACTTCCTCTCCCTTGATTTCTCTGCACATACTTTTCATCTCCTTTTTACGACCAATCCGACCAATTGTCTTCTGGCACGACACCTGAGGAACCCATCTGCATCACAGTCCTCGAAAGGAAAAGCAAACAAACAAACAGCACTCCCTACAAATCTAACTAACACCCAACCGCCCGTCGAGTTAACCAGAGCTACAGCAGCCGAGTGGGTAGACCTACTGCATTGGAATCCACCAAAGACCTGGGACCGTTCCGCAAGACCTAGAAGCGAGAGTGAAGAAGTCAATTTGTGTAAACCAGCTCGTTAAAAGGTATTGGATGTTGGCGCTTTTCTAAAAGGATACGTAACTTATTGCTTTCCTGTTGATTGCTCTCCCAAATGGGCCCTGTAGTCAGGAAAGCGTCGCATGCAGGCAGTTGGTACTCAGGAGACCGTATGAAAACGGATTTCTGATATTCTAATGGGCTTTTCCAGGTGAGAAACTGGATGCTGAACTTCACAGGTGGTTATCTGATGTAACTGTAAAACGCCAGCCAGCTAGTGCAGTGATTTCACCGTACGTCAACTATTTTCCATGTATCTCGGGGTTTTAGACATGCTGGTTACGACTACTGTGGTCATTGTGCTGCGTATGCCTTCAAACAGATTGATCCTAGATGCATGTATGTTAATAAATAAGCAGTTATGCTCATATACGGGTGATTTTTTCAGTAAGAGAGTGTTCGTTTTAGGTCCTGCTCATTATATGAGTCTGCGAGGGAAATGCGCACTCTCTACCGCGGAAATTTTCGAAACTCCGTTCTACTCTCTACCTGTTGACAGAGATGGTGAGTGGAAATCTTCAAAATATCTAACCTTGATTTCAGTTTACCGAGATCTTAATAGCACTGGAGAATTTGTTGATTTGTCTCTTAGCCGGGATGAAGAGGAGCATTCTATAGAAATGCAAATGCCGTACATAGCGAAGACAATGGAGGGGTAACTTATTGATATCTTTGGTAGCGTGGTCACACTGGGGGCTAGCTATCATTGTTTGAACTGTGTTGTACTAGCTACTGTTCTTTACATTTTAGCCTTGACGTTAATTGATAACCAGCTGTAGCATTTGGGAAGAGTGTACACTAGCGATGCTGGTGAAAACAACTAGTATAAGTTTTGTCGATTTGGACGAATTACTAGGCGGCAGCAGTTAAGTATACACTTAGTGTCATCAACACTGTCATAAGATACAATATTCTCTCGTTTTTATTTTTAGTGCTTATGAGTCGTCAAGTTTCTCATGGATTGATCTTATCACAGGAGAATCCGTGGTAGATATAGCATATGCAAATGACAGTCCTGTTAGGTGAAGACCCTAGTAGCGTCTTCTGGACAAGTTGAGTGGCTAATGGAGAATGTTTGAGATGTGTTTCTCGCTACCCAAGTGCGATTTAATGGTCCATGAATGGTCTTCAATGATATGTCTGACAATAGTGACTGGGATAGGCAAGTTGACCACTTCTTTTACGTGGGGAGTCAAATTAACCCTGGTTGGTCAGTAGTCGATAAAGTCTTTCTATGGATGAGAATGATTCAGTTGGCCTTTGGTAACTTACTCCATCTGTCGCGTCACCACAATATAGGACTGTCTATCAAGGGTCGAGTTTACTGCGCTGCGGTTGGTTCTGTTCTACTACTTGGTTGTGAAACGTGGTCATTAAAAGTAAATGAAACGGGAAGGCTCCAGGTGTTTGATCACCATTGCCTTCGTATCATAAACTATGTGTCGTGGTGTCACCGCATCAGTGTAGAGATTTAGGAAGGGACGGAAAGTTAGTTGGTACGGTTGTCACTCTTCATCGGTTAAGATGTCTGAGACATGCTACGCATGCCTAGTCACCACTTACCTTGTCACACAATGTTAGCTGAAGTAGGTTTAGGTCAGAAAAAGGTTAAGGGTAGACATAGCATCAGTGCATAAAATCTGACTATTAGTCTGAGTCCTGTAAGGAAATCCAGACTGGCCGGTTGGGGCCCGTTTGACAACATAAGTCAGTGGTTGGATACTGGCTGACATGGCTGAATCAGCGTCAGTGGTGCAGATGTGTCCGTACATTATTTTTTTCTTAATCTTTATACTAAATTCAACATTCTATCCATCCTTGTTATGTCATTACGAATTCCTACCACTGATTTCTTCTCTTTATCATCTCAGTGCTTTTCCTCCTGATGTGCTGATATGCGATATCGCAACTTGGACCGTTATGCAGTAATACCTGGTCCTATATTAATCATGTTTGTACATCTGAACTGGTTTAAATTAGCTTAAATTTAAGATTACCTGAAAACCTTTTTCATTGTCATTATTAGGACTGGTAACACGAAGTATGGTTGTTAGTGTATTTGTGCACCTGTATGTAAAATGGATTCCAAATGTTTAAATAAACTTCCTGTTCTAAAATTGTATTTAAGTCACCAGTCATCAGTAATGGTAGTGAAGCGAGTGGCCTATAATTCTTTACATCTCTGAGCATCTTATATGTTCTGTTTACTAGTTGATATCACCCACTGTGATACATCTTCCCTTTTGGTGATAGGAAGAGAAGATCCACTGGGGGTTTGATTGACTTTAAGTTGTGAAGTTCCTGGTTGTTGTCAGATATTCTAGAAAATAATTTTGCCGTCCTTTAGCTTTTTGCTCACTTACCTTGTAATATCTGTCGAGATTTCAAACTCATGATGACTACAGTTAGGATTTTTTTTATTACAGTCATTCTGCTAGCATTCCGTGTACCTGCATTTCCTAAAGCAGACAGAATCGGAGGCAAGGAATTCACATTCGATTATGTTTGAATGCTAGATTTCACGCCCTAACACTTAATCACAACTTTAATTTTGAGTTCTTAAAACTTTTTACTCCTCAGTTATCAGCTGGCTGTTTATTTGCTAGTGTGGCCTAGTTTCTTATACTTGGAGTTATACGTCAGCTTACTATTCATCTTTGTGATCATGATGCCCAATTTTACTACTAAAACGTATTCGTAAACTGTAGATAACATCTGTAAACGTCACTGCTAAGCTGTTAGGAGAATTTGCACTCTAAATGACCTTAACATTAAAGAAATTTGGAATATATTCGGGAAAGAAAATATTGACTACGCTGTCGGGTAGCGAAATTCAACAAACAGTCTTTTGCTTTTGATTAGTCATCTCATGAGCGAGGAAGTTCTGTAATTCTGTCATTATATCTTAGGAGCATAATGCCAAGTGGGAGAAATCACTTTAAGAAAGATTCAAAGCACTATAAATCATTCAGATTTGATGTCGTTCAACATTTTGCGGTTTAAATGTCATAACTTAACTCAAGTGCTTTTTTTGAGCATTCTACTAATGACGCAAAAATTACAGTTGTCGTAACAACTGTACCGGTTCCCATGTAATGGATTCGATTTACAGATCCAAAAGTTTGGGTTATTTGAAATGAATCTAAACAGAAATTTTTAATCACGGAAAAGTCTTCTAGAAATAGACAGTTTTAAAGTTATAAGCGTGCAAAATCTAGGCATTTTGTCAGTTAAAATGTGTTATGTATAAGGAAAGAGGATATAAGATTATCCCCTAGAACATTCTACTTTTCACGAACTTCATGTAGAAGGTTTTCAGTTCCGAACTGTATGGTTATGCCAGTACTTAAACTGGTGAAATCACTTATGACTTTTCCATGAACTTGTACTTTAAGTTGGGTTATAAGCAACATGCTGAGAACTTTTCCGTTTTATTGATACATTTGAAACAGTATAGTTACCAAAGAATCGATCTTCGAATATTGAGTATTATTACATCCTCATATTCTCGTAAATAGCTTTATGTCTGCAACATTGATATATCTGTTCGTGAACGGTCCTTTTGGTTACATAAAACAAGGTCACAAACGATTTTGTATACCCATTTTTAGTTCGTAATCAATTGTGATCACTGTGCCGATTGGGAAAAGCAGTAGCGTTTAGTAACATTTTCATATGGTTGAAAACGAAATTACTATTAGTGACCTAAGTTGTTCTGCACAAAAATATGAACTAATTGGGAACCGTGCAGCTTGAAGCTATGAATCATTTACTTGAGACAGTCACAAACAATCATTTCATTTCTATTGGGTAGTGATTGAAAGTGAAATGAGAATTTGGGCTGCTGCAGGTTTCTGACCCATCTCTCTACTAACTGAGCTACAAGGCGCGACTATTGACTAGATTTTTGTCTCACTCCCATCACCAAGGTTTTCACCTGACTGCTATGTAAATTCGTGACACGTTACTACTTACTGGCTGCCCAATCAGAACTCTTCATCCCAATCCAAATCTACGTGAATTAGAAAGAGGGAGGATCGAATTGATTATCATTTTGACTATCTGGGATAGCCATAGTTTAGCAGACCAACATTGATACTGGGTGGTGATCATGATGATAAAATCAACGTAGAACCTCGCACAGAAGTGCGTCACTTGACGCCACATGTTACAGTAGTACACAAAGAACAACTTGAAGATAAAAGAGAGTGCCAATATTCAAGCTTTAGGTGTCAAGGAGTGAATATATCAGCGCCATTGTCGCCGATTTTCAGCTGTCACCAATAGTTCTAAACCACTAATTCCTTTCGTCTCGAGGACACTAACCAGGCAGCCTAAATCTCTTCATACGTCTCAGACCAACAGTAAAGGACTTCATCGACTGGTGTCACGTCTTGGTCAGGCCACCATGAACCTTCTTCCAACCTAATCCAACATCTCCTAGTATTGCATGTCGATGTAGTAGATGACTCGGTATGCCCGGTACATGTCCCAGCCATCTCAGTCGACTGAAATTCACAGCTTCATTAATCGACTTATCTATCACCTGACCTCAACACTGCTCACACGGGGATTCCACCACACGTGGTGACTAAGGGTAGGATGAAAATTTGGGCCACGGCAGGATTCGAACCAGAGACTGCTGGATTTCCGGCCCGGTGCTCTACCAGTTTCCCGAATCACTGCTATTTCATTTGTTTGTTTCACGTTGCTTTCACTACTCTTTTCATTTTCTTTCTATACCACTTTTACTTCTTAGCTCTGTTATATATCATTTTACATTACACATCTCTTGTTATCCATATTGTACTGAGTATGAGTTTTGAGTAATATGAAATGCTAAAGCCATCGGCTAGGCTGAACTCAACTTTCTGCCATGTTAGAGGTTGGCATAGCAATTAGGTGCTCCGAATGTACTAATGTTATATTACTTTACTTCTGCTAACTGTATTTTAGCTGTTTGGGGTGCTAGATTTTATCGTTACAGGCCGATCCCAACACATATTGTGGCTCAATTATCCTGGTATTGGTAATGATGAGATGAGTCCGTTCATACTTTCGAAATGTTCTCTAATGACCACGCGTTCATAACCTCTACCAAGAAATCCTTACCCGCTGCCTTCACTTAGTGGGGGCATTTCCGCGAAAGCGAATGAGTGCAGTCAAATGTACGGTGCTTATAATCCGATTTGCTGATATAGGGGAAAGTTGTAAAACCTTGATTCCAAGCCAGTGGCTTACATAGGCCCCACTTACCAGAACTAACGAACCATGTTTGCCCAATGGCGAGCATGTTGATACAGTGCCTTGCATTGATTTGTTGTCTTTTGGATACGACTGCAAATCAATAGCTTGAGAACTATTTCTTAAGGTAATCATCTGGTCCTGTCTGAGCGTCCGGGGAGTATCACGGCATGCATACTGATCATGGGATAATACTGAAACAAAACTTCCATACAGTGCTCAAAAATTTCCCATAAGTGCTTAAAATGTGCCACAAAAATCAAACTTAATATTCCATATCTCTTCCTCCTCTCTGCCAGTGATCCAGTTGACTGAAACCAGGGTGTGGTTCAGAATAAGTTTTAACGATTAACTGATATTGATTCAACGTCTCTGGAAAGATATTCTGGTGCTGATTGGTGATCTGACTTC